AAATTCCTTTTATGAAGCTACAGTTACCCTGATACCAAAACCACACAAAGACCCAACCAAGAAAGAGAATTACAGGCCTATCTCACTCATGAATATCGACGCAAAAATTCTCAATAAAATACTGGCAAACCGAATTCAAGAACACATCAGAAAAATTATCCATTATGATCAAGTAGGCTTCATCCCAGAGATGCAGGGCTGGTTCAACATACGCAAATCTATCAATGTAATCCACCATATAAATAGACTGAAAGAAAAAAACCATATGATCATTTCATTAGATGCGGAAAAAGCATTCGACAAAATTCAACACCCCTTTATGATAAAGGTCTTGGAGAGAATAGGGATACAAGGGTCATACCTAAATATAATAAAAGCTATCTACAGCAAACCGACAGCTAACATTAAATTAAATGGAGAAAAACTCAAAGCCATCCCACTAAAATCAGGAACAAGACAAGGATGTCCACTCTCTCCATACCTCTTCAATATAGTGCTTGAAGTTCTAGCAATAGCAATAAGACAACATAAGGGGATCAAGGGGATTCGTATTGGAAAGGAAGAAGTTAAGCTTTCGTTATTTGCAGATGACATGATAGTATACATAAGCGACCCCAAAAATTCTACCAAAGAACTCCTACAGCTGATAAACACCTTTAGTAGCGTGGCTGGATACAAGATCAACTCCAAAAAATCAGTTGCCTTCCTATACACTAAGGATAAGGAAACAGAGAGGGAAATCACAGAAGCATCACCTTTCACGATAGCCACAAAGAGCATAAAATATCTTGGGGTAACCCTGACCAAGGAAGTGAAAGATCTATTTGACAAGAACTTCAAGTCTTTGAAGAAAGAAATAGAGGAGGACACCAGAAAATGGAAGGACCTCCCTTGCTCTTGGATTGGGAGGATCAACATAGTAAAAATGGCAATTCTACCAAAAGCAATCTATAGATTCAATGCAATCCCCATCAAAATCCCATCAAAATTCTTCACAGATCTGGAGAAGACAATAATCAACTTTATATGGAAAAACAAAAAACCCAGGATAGCCAAAACAATCTTATACAATAAAGGAACGTCTGGAGGCATTACCATCCCTGACTTCAAACTCTATTACAGAGCTACAGTATTGAAAACAGCTTGGTATTGGCATAAAAACAGAGAAGTCGACCAATGGAATCGAATAGAAGACCCTGACTTTAACCCACAAACATATGAACACCTGATTTTCGATAAAGGAGCTAAAAGTATACAATGGAAAAAAGAGAGCATCTTCAACAAATTGTGCTGGCAAAACTGGATGTCAATCTGTAGAAGAATGAAAATAGACCCATATCTATCACCATGCACAAAACTCAAGTCCAAGTGGGTGAAAGACCTCAATATCAGTCCAAACACACTGAACCTGATTGAAGAGAAAGTGGGAAGTACTCTACAACACGTGGGCACAGGAGACCACTTCCTACGTATAACCCCAGCAGCACAGACAGTAAGGGCCTCATTGAATAAATGGGACCTCCTGAGACTGAGAAGCTTCTGTAAAGCAAAGGACACTGTTGCTAAGACAGAAAGGCAACCCACTGACTGGGAGAAGATCTTCACCAACCCCACAACTGACAAAGGTCTGATCTCCAAAATATATAAAGAACTCAAGAAACTAGACCGTAAAAGGCTAATCAACCCAATTATAAAATGGGGCACTGAGTTGAACAGAGATCTCTCAACAGAAGAAGTTCAAATGGCCAAAAGACACCTAAGGTCATGCTCAACTTCCTTAGCGATCAGGGAAATGCAAATCAAGACAACTTTAAGATACCATCTTACACCTGTCAGAATGGCAAAAATCAAAAACACCAATGATAGCCTTTGCTGGAGAGGTTGTGGAGAAAGGGGTACACTCATCCATTGCTGGTGGGAATGCAAACTTGTGCAACCACTCTGGAAAGCAGTGTGGAGGTTTCTCAGGAAATTTGGGATCAACCTACCCATGGACCCAGCAATACCACTCTTGGGAATATACCCAAGAGAGGCCTTATCACACAACAAAAGTATATGCTCTACTATGTTTATAGCAGCATTGTTTGTAATAGCCAGAACCTGGAAACAACCTAGATGCCCTTCAATTGAAGAATGGATGAAGAAAGTATGGAATATATACATATTAGTGTACTACTCAGCAGTAAAAAACAAGGACTTCTTGAAGTTTGCAGGCAAATGGATGGAAATAGAAAACACTATCCTGAGTGAAGTAAGCCAGACCCAAAAAGAGGAACATGGGATGTACTCACTCATATTTGGTTTCTAGCCTTAAATAAAGGACATTGAGCCTATAATTCAGGTTCTTAGAGAAGCTAGATAAGGAGAACCCAAAGAAAAACATATAGGCATCCTCCTGAATATTAACCTTCATCAGGCGATGAAAGGAGACAGAGACCCACATTGGAGCACCGGACTGAAATGTCAAGGTCCAAATCAGGAGCACCAGGAGAGAGAGCACGAGCAAGGAACTCAGGACCGCGAGGGGGGCACCCACACACTGAGACAATGGGGATATCCTATTGGGAACTCACCAAGGCCAGCTGGCCTGGGTCTGAAAAAGCCTGGGTTAAAACCGGTCTCTCTGAACATAGTGGACAATGAGGACTACTGAGACCACAAGAACAATGGCAATGGGTTTTTGATACTACTGCACCAATTGGTTTTGTGGGAGCCTAGGCAGTTTGGATGCTCACCTTACTAGACCTGGATGGAAGTGGGTGGTCTTTGGACCTCCCACAAGGCAGGGAACCCTGATTGCTCTTTGGGCTGACGAGGGAGGGGGACTTGATTGGGGGAGGGGGAGGGAAAGGGGAAGCGGCAGTGGGGATGAGACATAAATCTTTAATTAATTAATAAAGAAATAAATAATAAAGATTTCACTGTCATATTTTCCTGGGTCAGTGTGAGGATCTGCATACATGGCTGCTCCTGAAATAGATAAATAGGGTAAAATTTTAATGAGTTTGTTGGGCCTAAAATATATCAGAAGCAATACCACTATTCTAATACCAGGTTTATACTTTTGATCAAGAATATCCAGAACATTTTATGGAAAGCCTAGCAATATGAATTGAAAGAATTCACATATTCACATTAAGGAAAATAAATTATTAAACAAATAGCACAGGCAAAATTTTTCCTCTGGAGTAGAAAAGAAGTAACAATTGTTTATAGAAATGCCCTTGATTTTCTCTTCTCTTCAGTATGTCCTCTGATTCATTCTAGATAATTTTAAAGAAAAGGGATACCTAGATGATACACATATATAATCTAACACCAGAAAAACTGTTCCTACAGCATGAGCCCTGAAAGGGTTGTGAAAGAATGATATGTCTTTCCCCTAATTCTGATTGAAGATGGGATATTGTTACCTAAAACTAAAGTAACAGCTAACTAAATTTGAAAAAAAGTATTTTACAAATCATGTATAGGATTATATGCAAACAGATTTTTATACATCATTGAAGGACCCCATCACTTCTTAGCTGGATTGAAAGATGGTCCCAGATAAAGTTTCCTACCAAGTTGTTTGATATTTACCAATGTTCCTTAATCATTTGCTTTCTGAATTTTTCTTTTAAGCTTCAGCTATACAATTTTTACTAATTTTCTTTAGTCTTTCTCTTTAGGATCCCTATATGCAAGGTTTTCCACCCAGCTACTCCAACAACTTCCAAACGTGGGTTCCTAACAACCATGTACTTAAGAACTTAAGAACTGTTTCTCAGTAAGAAGTTGGATCAAGGAATTTTCAGCTTATCTGTACCAGGGTTTTTGCTTACTTGGCCCTATTTGGGGTTAGACAGACAACTACAACCACTATGAGCCCATGATTGTGGTATCCATGTCATGTCCAGAAGACAGCATTTCACAGCACCCCTCCCTGTGCTCCACTCATTACATTCTTCCCACCTCCCCTTCATCAGTTGAGACTTGGAGGAACTTGAATGGAACTGGAAATCTTATATTATACAACATATTGAAGATTGGGAAGAACATTTTCTGCCTTATAGAGAATGCAGACTGTGTTTGAGACTTCTATTGTGTAGGCTTGGAACTAGAATGGAAGTCAAGACAGGAAAAAACGTCTTAAGTGAAGGACAGAAGGTAAAAAGCACAGGGTAATACAGGGGTTTTCAAAGGAAAAGTCAGGTGTAGTGAGAAAAAAGTTCCTGAGAAGGTAGAAAGCAAAGCATGAGAATTTGGAAAAACAAAAACAAAGCCTTCTGAAAATACAAAATTGATGCAGAGGTTTTGTGTTTTGTTATTGACAATTGTGAAATGTCCACATTATGATGAAAATATAAATATGCAGAAAAAAAAGTGAACTTAGACAACATGAAGCCAGCCATGTGTTGTCTGGTATTGAGGTGGGAAAGACAGATTGGGGGATACAAAGTGATCATAGGAAAATTTCGTGATGCAAACAAGTATGATGTAAATAGAAATATGTATCCACTAAGAGGAAGACAGACAGAACAAGATATGTATCATTTGCAAAATTCCATAGGGCGTGTGATAGCACCTCTTAGAACTGAGTAGAATTCAGAAAAGTTTCAAGTGTTCCTGTCAGGATTCACCTCAAGAAAAGCCATGTCAAGCAGAAACAGAGGGGCAGACGGAGCTTATATCTAGAAACACAGCTTTGTGTGGAGGTTTTCTATTTCACATTGACCCTAAAGAGACATGACGGTGTGGAAACACATTTTCTATGCATATGGTGAAAAGGGAACTAAATAAAGTGTGGTGAATCCCTAACAAGGAAATTATGTACACAGAGCTACATTAATGCTTCAATTTCATTAACTGTCATCACTGTATATGATGTCTTATATGTACTCTGAGTACTGCCTTCTGACCAGGCCCAACTACAGAGCCTGTTATGGCAGGAAGATATGCAAATAAGACTTCTTTTGCCCATAAAAATCAGTCCTGTCCTGAACCTACAGCTCTGGCAGAGGAGACCAGTCCTGAATTCTCAAGTCCTCCCAGTCAGGGGTCAGCACTGAACACAGGTCACTCACCATGGACTTATGGCTCATATTGGTTTTCCTTGTCCTTATTTTAAAAGGTAATTCATAACGATGAGATGCTGTGTGTTGTGTGCACATTAGAAAGACAAAAAAAAAGTCTTCTGCGTCAGTTTTCTAATCAGAATTCTTTGTGTTTACAGGGGGACAGTGTGAGGTGCAATTGCTGGAGTCTGGAGGAGGCTTAGTGCAGCCTGGAAATTTCCTGAAACTCTCCTGTGCAACCTCTGGATTCACCTTCAGTAGTTATGCAATGAACTGGTTCCGCCAGGCTCCAGGGAAGGGGCTGGAGTGGGTCGCATATATTAGTGGTAGTAGTAGCTACATCTATTACACTGACACTGTGAAGGGCCGGTTCACAATCTCCAGAGACGATGCCAAGAACACTCTGTACCTGGAAATGAGCAGTATGAGGTCTGAGGACACAGCCGTGTATTACTGTGCAAGAGACACAGTGAGTGAATGCTACAGTGAGCTCAGACAAAAACACCGCTGTGGGTAACACAGAACCAGCAGGGGGCGCTGAGAGCACTTAGATATCTGGGTCACAGAAGAGCCTGATCAGAGAAGCATTGAAGACTGGACTTCTCTGTGTCTGCACTGCCTCTCCTTATCACACTTAGGGATTTTCTCTACAGGTATAGAGTGTAGTAATCCTTGAATGTCCAAATGTTTATTCCAATTTCATTTTCCTGCTGGGTATTGTGTTTATTTATTACAGTGTTTCTCCTTGTTTCCCATTAACTCTGTCTACCTGTCTCTGTGTCTCACTCTCTCTCTCACTCTCCCTTTTTCTCTCTCTCTTTTGCTCTCTAACATTTTCTCTATAACTACTGTGTGCATGTGTGTGTGTGTGTGTGTGTGTGTGTGTGTGTGATGACATATGATGCTCAACAGCCTCTGTCTTTCTCTTTTCAATGTGTGGCAGACACTGTTACTCATTTGTGCAATCTGCTCTCATTTTTACCTTTTTATTCAGGTGTGTGAGTTTAACATGAATAGTGAGATTCCAGCACATGCTGTGGTTTAACTACACAGTAGTCTTGAAAAGGTCAAGGACTCCAGAGTCAGAATAGGAGTCATCAGCTGAGGTTGAAGTTTCCCTCTACTTCTCCTTGTACTCTTCCTTCTGTTTTCTTTGATTGTTTATCCTCCCTATCCCAACATTCTTGACATCCATGCTCAGTAGATTGATCCTTTACAGAATCGGGTATAAGTGCTGGGCATCAAGGAAAAAGAATTTTGTGGTTCCTGGTGTATATTTTAGTAGTGCATAAATGCAGTCTTCAAAAAATATTTTCTGTACAATAATGTGATGTTTTAAAACATTTATCTAGGCTAGTTACTCTGTGATAGAGTGCTTTGTGACCATGTGAAATGTCTTAGTTTAAGAACCAAACACTCCTAAAAATAGGAATTAAGCACTTAGAAAATATCATATCTCACATTCAGAGACTTAAATGACCACTCTCATGGCTGGAAAAGGAATGGAAGTCCCCAGAATAGTAAGTGCAGTTGTAAAGTTGTTGAGAAGGAACAAGTATTCAGGAGTTTATCTCTTGATTCCATAGCAAGCAGTTCGTCCATGGTCTGCAACTTCCATGACACAGTTCTAAATAACTATAAACCATGGATCCCACACAGGGTAAGGACAATGTTTGGATGGCTTTAAAACCTAACTGTCTAGACTGTCTGTGCATTTTGTATGGTTTGCACATGTGATTGAAGGCTAGAGTTGAGATTAACTGTGTTTATTGGTTTATTTCTATCTTATTTTTGAGAGAGGATCTCACAGTGAACCTGCAGCACAAATGTGCAGATGGATTCTTGGGATGGTAAGTTTCAGAGAATCTCCAGCCACAACCCCCTCCAGTGCTGGGAATATAGGATAAACCATCACACCCAGCTTCTAAGCTAAGTGTTGTGAATCAAGCTAAGCTACTAATATTGGAATGTAGGCATCTTACCACTGAGCCAATTGTTGAGCCCTGGATATAATCACTATACAGTGATAAAAGAATATGTAAAAGAAAATACATGTATTATATAATAATTTTTAAAAGAGAATATGTATTGCCAATTATGGATTTTTAAACCATTAACTGTCTATATTAAAATGAATGCCTCACATCCAAACCCTTATATGTCCTCATAAATAACCCTTAAAACTGACCATTATGGAAATCTGGAAGTGGTAAAATGGCTAGGATCAGCAAAAGAAGAGAGAATTTAAATGATTATTAGAATATATTGTGTTGAAAGTTTTTCAAGGAAATAATTTTTTTAATTATCGACAACAATGCATTTGATAGTAGGGCATGATGAAATATAGTCTTAATACATTCAGTAGAAAGATAGAAGCAAGAAAAATCTCTCATAGCTAGGGACCAAGATGACCCTGTTAAAAAATGAAAGAAAAAAGTCATCCCTTCTACCAGTAAATCCTTAGGGTGTTTCTGACTGTGGGTGTGAAGGATGGGTATGGGACTGTATCTGGAAATGTGAATCTTACTCTCTTTGTGTCTCTGTCTATGTATGTTGGAATGTGTGGCTGAGGTTTCAGAGAGTTGAAAATGTGTAGTGATCATTTAAGAATAAGGATCCACCTCCCAAATACAAGATCATTGTAAATAATGTGTGACTTTACCATCAACTCATTCCCTTTGAAAAAATCCTTTGCTTAGTGAATTCCTTCTAGACAGACTCACAGAAACAGAAACCCAGAAATTAAGAGAGTACAGAATACAGATGCAAACTATCTCTGCAATAGACAATGTCAAAAGTATGTGAATAATAAGTTGACCTATACCAAGTTCCCAAATGTAGTATCAGAAATGTTTCTTTACTTCTCTGATATCCCTTCCCTGATTTTTGTAACCACAATGAGAATATCAGACGAACCCAAGATGAGACATACTAAACATGTCTGAAATATATTCTTCTAATTTACTGAACATCACAATGAGGGGAACACAGCACTCATAGAGTTTTGCATTAGTATTTGCATCAGTATTTCCCATAAGTATTTGCAAGGATGACTGTCTTACCTATGTTAAATTCTAGCTCCCCCACTGCCACTCACAGTAAATATATTTTGCACAACAAATTGAGGGACATAAAATGTGGGATTCCAATAAAGGAAGTGGTGGGTATTCTTTGGGAACTGACAAGGCAGGTTGGTTACAGCTCATTTCCCTTCCCTGGTGATTTACATTCTTAAGGCATGGGACAAAGTCCTTCAATCCTTTGTCCTCTATAGTTATCCTCTCTACAAGGCAAGCAGTATCCTACTGTTCAAGTATACCCAGCTTCCATATCTTGTCATTACATAGGTTTCTCTGTCTTTTTATTACTTCAGATCATATAACTCTCAAGCCTGACTGAATGCTATTTCTTTTCATGAGGTGCTGGCTTTCTCATCCATCATCAATTCAGCAATCATAAAACCTAGTTCTTATGTGCTACAACCTGAGGATAGACAAAGTGAGAAATATAAAAATACAAAGGGAAAAAAAGTCTGATGTAAATAAAGATGTTCAAGGACAAGTTCCCAGTATGGTGTCCCTAACTAGGAAGGTAAATAGTCTGAGACTAATAAGATCAAATACAAGTCAAAACTCCCATATGAACACATGAGATCTCATTCTACTAAATGTTAGAAGTCACAAGTTATCTTCTAGATGAGGGATAAGAATAAGATGACTCTACTGACACCAAAAGAATAAACTCTAAGTTTTCATAAGCATGATTTTTGATCACTATGAGCCCCAATTTCATTCTAAATCAAATTTATGAATTTTCCGAGACATTCAAAAGCATTGAATAAGTGATACCTTGTTCTACCATCATTGATTGAATGTGGACTCACCCTAAACATTTCTATCTTTTTCCTGGCAGATCTGCACAGTGTGACTCAAAATATTTCTTGTTTGTCAGAGATTGGGAACACAGCCAGAACCAGGACAATGTTCCTGAGTAGCCATTTCTATTTATACTAAGAAGCAGAAACTGTCCCATTCCCTCAAATTCTTCTCCTTCTCCCTTTCTCCCCTCTTTTTCCTCCTCCACTCTCTATTCTCCCCCACTCTCATACTCCAAAGTTTTCGTGCAGTCTTGACTACTTCCCCTTTTCAAGTGGATCTATGTATGTTTTCTTCGGGTTCACCTTCTTACTTAACTTCTCTAGGATCATGAACTATAGGCTCATTATCCTTTCCTTTACAGCTAGTATCCACTTCATGCTATCTCAGGACACAACAATACCACTCATGAGCATATAACCAAAAGTTGCTCAATCATACTACAAGGACATTTGTTCAACTATATTCATAGCAACATTATTTGTCAGAGCCATAACCTGTAAATAACATAGATGCCTCTCAACCAAAGAATGGATAAAGAAAATATGCCCCATTTACACAACAGAGTACTACTCAATGATAAAAGAACGACATATTGAAATTCGCATGAAAATTGATGGAACTAGAAAAAAAATCCTGAATGAGGTAACCCAGACCCAGAAAGATGACCATGATATGTACTCACTCATAAGTGGATACAATGTGGATTTTCTTGAATTCTGTCATCTCTACTGTGACCACAATGAATTTAATATCTTCCATAAGCATAGCCTCCAATTTGAGCTTAGGTAAAGGGAACATATAAAACAGGAAAATGCAAACAGGACCTCATCCTTATCAGGAAAACCAGCCCAACCCTGATCCTTCAGGTCTACAAAAGGAACCCAGCCTAGGATTTTCAGGTCTGTTCATTCAAAAATAAATAGTGAACACAGACTATTCACCCTGGTATTGAGCAAGAGCAGGGTTTTTTTGTTTCTCTTTTTCAACGCAATTTAGGACAAAGAAGAGATGCTGACTTTATAAGTGGATATGAGTGAGAAATAAAGTGGACATGTGTAACAGTTTCCTGAAGAGAAAATAGGTGTTTACAGGTATCCTGTGGAAGGTGCAGCTAGTGGAGTCTGGAGAAGTATAGTTACAGCCTGGAGCAAGCCTGTAACTACCCTGTGTGGCTCTAGATTCAGCTTCAGTTATTAGTATATGCAGTGGGTCTGCCATGCCCCAGGGAACTGACCAGGATGGATCTCACACATGTAACACTTGTGTCTCAATAAAATATACAAATTCTGTCAAGGACAGATTGACTATCTCTGGGGACAATTACAAGAACACTTGGTAAATGGTAATGGATAGTCTGAAACTCTATGATACAATCATATTGTTGTGTCAAAATGCACACTGAAGAGAATAAGCATGATCCTAGACACAAGCTTTCTGCAGGGCAATCTTATGAACAGAAGGGAGCAGTGAGGAAGCAGGCAGGTCAAAGTCACCGAGAACAGGAGAAGAGGGACATGAAGGGCTAGATACATATGTCTGAACTGCTTCTGTATATCAATCAAAAAATCTCTCTACAAGTGTGCTGTGTAGACATATTTGAATTGGTCAAACATGGAACAGTATTTTCAACTTTGATGTG